GTTGGGGGGAGAGGAGGGCTTGGTCATTGCTGCTGTCAAGAGGACCCTGTCAGACCAGACCCCCTGAAACATGTTTCCAAGCATGATCTGCAAATATAGGCCAGGTCAGCAGTGTTTCAGTGGTACCTGGCCTTGTGGCACAGCCCTGGACTCATACACTCTCTCTCCCTCTCCTTCCCAGGTGGTGCTGCAGGAGCACTGGGCCCCAGTAGGGTGAAGCTGCACCATGCTCCTGCCCCAGGTGTAGGCACAGGCAGGGTGGCCCGCAGGAGAGAGGGGTGCACACCCCTCTCCCCATCCAGGACAAGCCTCAGGCACAAGCTGCTCAGGGTCACCAGGCAGCCCCAGCCCAGTGGATCCCATGTTCTTCAACCATAACAATAAGGACCTTCCTGGAGCACAAAAGGCTCTGGTGGTCTTGTTCCTGCAGAGGCTTGGCAGAAGGGTGGGCAGAGGTAGCCAGGGCTGACCTGGATCCTGGTGGCCCAGCTGCAGAGAAGCTGAAGACTCACTGTTTCCTTGGGTAAATAAAGTTTTCATTCTCACGCTGGCTGCTGTGAGTAGCTCCCCCGAGGCGGATGCCGGATGGAAGGCTATCAAGCTGGTGGGTAAGCCCATCTTCCTGCTTATCCCCCAGGATACATAGTCCCAGTGCAACCACCACCCACTAGGGTAGAAGGTACATATTTGGCACAACCAGGGCGAGGCCAGGAGCAGTACAAGTGAAAAGGACATAGGGCTGTGTCCTGGGGGCTACACATGCTCCTGGGCTCAGCATCCCTTGACAGACACAGTGGGACAGGCACAGTGGGATTGAGAGACATATTTATTGAGGGAGAACCGCAGGGAGCTGAAGGACTGGAAGCTGCCATCAGCAACATCCACCCTGCCTGCTCAGCTCACTGAAAGGAAAAGCTGGTGCTTGGGAGCCCCCCACACCACTGGCTGAGGAACTTGAGCACATCTTGGCATGTAGGGCTGTGGGATGTCTGCAAAGCAAGAGAGGCATTCTTGATCTTGGTGATGGGGACAGTGCAGCCACCTTCTGTCCAAGGGCAACTCCCCCCGCCCCCGCTCCCCCGCCAAGGAACTGGGAGAGCTGCACAGACAGGACTTGGCCTGTCCCAGCTCCATAAGGAAGTTAATCCTGGCCCAGCAGTATGCAGGGAGGTTATGGTAACCCACCCTTGTTCTGTGTTATCTCCCACCCAGCGGGACAGTATGTTATGGTCAGCATGGGGGGGGACAGTAAGCCTGACAGATTTGGGGGGGGGGGGAGGGAGAGAGAGAGCGCACGTGCGAGAGAGGACCCTCCCCCCCTCCCATCTCCATGCCCCACAGGATGCCTGGCTCACCTTGACAGCCATCAGGAACTTGTTCCATGTGTCTTTGTTGGCTTCTCGGCCTGGCCGCTTGAACTCAATCTTATTCCTTAGCACAGGATACCCTGGCCACACAGCGACATGATCACAGGCAGGTCACGGCCCACCACAGGCACCTCCCCTGTGCACCCCTGCCCTCCCCTGCACAGCCCACTGGCTAGGACTGCTCTCATGGGGCAATGAGCCAGAGCCCTGTTCCTGGTCACCCAGCCCTGCTTCCCCCATGTACATGCATGTGCATGTGTGTTGGCACTGGCCAGCCTGGGCAGGGTCTCCCAGGCAGCGTTGTGCGAGGCTGAGCAGGGTCAATCCATCTCCACCAGCGTGCCCGTAGCCACAATCTCCCCACTCCAGCTGCAGCATAGCCCAACTCCCTCCCAGCCCACCAACAAGCTCCCATGGTGCTCTGCATGGCACCATGTGCTTCGCTGCATGTGTGCAGGCCAGCCCAGAGCTCACCTGTAAGCACACAGGGCAGGGAGCGCACCCCTGTACTTGCTGCCACTAGTGAGGCTTCGTACGTGTCACGTTCATCCTGTGGCAACACCTGCTCCAGCCGCTGGTCCATGGACATGGTGAGCACCCAGTCCCTGACTTCTTCCCGCTTTTCCTCCTGCAAGATAGAGGCCAGGGCACCTCCTGAAACTGCATGCTGTGCCACTGTCAGTTGCCTGCTTCTCAGCACCAGTGTGCTGAGAGGGCACATGAGTGTGAGTGTGCAGGGCTGGCTAGGGACGCTTGAGTGTGAGCATGTGTGTGCACATGTGCTGGCCCACAGCGCAGAGCTGACGCCACGTTCCTGAAGTGCCTGCAGTCCCACCCTTGCCCCAGTCCCTGTTTGGAGAGAGCCCTGAGGTAGCTGCTGTTTGCTGGAGCTGAAGAAAGCAGGTGATACTCACAGGCACATGCTGCTGGGCTGGAAGTGGCACCTCAAAGGGAATGTCTGTCCTCTGGAAATCTGAGTGGTCCAGGGAATCCAGGTTCCCCTCCTCGATGGCCTGAGAAGGAGACACTGCATTGGGAACTCTCTGTGCCCCACTACACAACTGCTAACCCCCCATCAGAGGAGTCCCACCAAGGCACTTGCAGGAGGATACTTGGCTAGAAGGACGCACAGGCAGTGTAATGCCCAAGCAGCCTTGTAACTGAATGGAGTTGGGCTAATACTGGGGCCTGTTTGCACGCCACAGTTCACAGAAAGAGACCAGCTCAGAATGATCTGTGTGGCAGGAAGGCCAGAGACATTTAGGTGCAGTAGGACACTACCAGATTTCTTTTGCCAAGCAAGTATAAAGACCTAGGACAGCATCTAGCAGCACCACTGAATTACTGCTCCCTGGAACCTACTGCATCACCCAATGTGACTTGCACACCTTCCTTCACTGGCTCCAGTGCTGTGGTGCAGGGATCAGCCACCCCTGCAGCCCCTGCCCTGCACAACAGCAGCCTTTTCTCACAATGGCCACAATCAAACTTGTTAAGCCAACGCACCCATCCTGTGCTCCAGTATATGCACACCTAATGCTTGCTCACCCTAAACTCCCACTCCCCCTTTTACCAGCAACTTTTACTGTGTTATATATTATTTTTTTCTGTTAGCCATAAGCTAAATCCCAGAAAGACACATCTGTCAGTACCTCTGCTGACCAACACCACCATTTAAAACTAGCTAAGAATATTCTGCAAGGCTTGCTACTGATTTTTTTTTTTTTAACTATGAATAAGCACACAGAAATACTCTGAATGTGTGTGCTCTGGCTGAGCACACTGCACCACTGCTTTCATCAGTCAGATCAGTTTATCTGATGAAATGGAGAGTGGGGTTCATTTCCCCTAGTCATAGGTGTTTAGATCATGAATGTCAGCTAAAGTGTCATTGCAAGACTCCTGCGTCTGCGCTGGGTCATCCAGGGCTCCTTTTACAGTTGGTGGAGCATTAGGCAATACCATCCTTGGAGTTCACAGCACAATCCATGTTGTGGGAATGGCTTTACTGATGCCCCCTAGCCATTAGTGCTGTGATGACTGGGTCCTCCTGGCAGGTGGGTATTTATAGCCAGCCTCTGCAGTGTCAGAGGGCATGCACCCCAAAACACTCTGTTGCTCAAGCTTATCAGGTGGCCTCAAGAAAGGAAAGATGAAATGGTGAGCTTTTCTTCCCAGCAGCTGCTGACAGCATTTGGAACACTGGTACAATAATGATGTCTGCCAGCTTCCTAGGGTTTGGTGTTTTTATGGTGACCAACCTGTTAGTCAAGGAAGGAGCTGACTGGCATGGGGACTCAACTCCTGATTCTTGTTTCACAGTGGGTAAAACATTAGGCCATGCCTTCTCCCCCGCCCCTGGATAATTTTTCTCCTCTTGAAACAACTCAGATAAGAGCATCCTGAAGACCGTAATGGCACTTGCTTCAGGGCATTTCGGAGCCCTGAAGTGTCAGGGCAACATGCTCTTTGCTGCAACATGCGTGCATAGTGATGCGGTCACATGCATGGTGGTGTGGTCAGGGCCTCCCAGGTGCCCTGCATGGCAAGTTCTTCCACAGCTAGTGTTGAGGGACGCAGGGCTCTGCACATGCACAGCAGTGTTCAGGACCCTGAGTTCTATCAGGACCAGCTCACACATGTGCTGCCACATTTGGGCCTCAGGAGTGCCCTGGCCAGGCTGAGAGTCTGGGTTGGCCCTGCAGCACACTGACATTTTTAAGCATGATGCCCCTCCACCTGGCAGGTTATACTCACATCTGAAAGGTCCAGGAAACGGTTCAGGAAGATGAATGCCATGTTCTCCCAGCTGACTTCCTGGTGCAGAGAGAAACAAGTGAGAGCAGGCAGCTGGTGGCTTATCTTCATGGCCACAACTCCCCTGAGAAATGGGCTAGAAATGATGTGGTTCTGTTTGTGCTGCAACATCCTGCTTGCAGCAGGTGGGCATGGAGAGAGAGTGTGCGCAGCATGACTCACCATCCCCGAGGACTGCTTCAGGGGGAACTGCTGGGACAACCAGCTACCTAGCCACAGGCAGTTCCACAAGATGGAACCAGGCATTACTGCACAGCCAGCATCAGGCAGTGACAACATGCTGCTATGTTTGCCTTGTGTCATTGCATGTGGGCAGGAGGTCAGCCTGTAGCCTTAGGAGT